TATAAGATGGTATCCATGGTCATGTATAGACATTTGAATGCAGGACCACATTCAAGGACATAAATGCATGTGCACACCCTTTCACATGTAGGGCGTGTACACACACACACACACACACACACACACACACACACACACCTCCCTGCTGCCATCAGTGCTCAGCAATCATGATGACCCTCAGTTTCTGGCACCAACAGGCAGGCTCACCCTCCCCTCTGTCTCTCCCTCCCCCAGCCTCATGACAGGCAGCTCATGCTCCTGCCAACCCCATGCCTGCCTTCGGCTTCCCGCCCCCCAGGGGTCCCCAGATCCCTGATTAACCCCCTCGCTAATTGGCCACCAGCCCCTTGACTTTGCTGCAGGCCTTCTCGGGAGCTGGGAGCGAGAGGCTGCAAATTGGCCAAGCAAGATGGGTCTGGGGAATAGTGTGCATGTGCGGGTGGGGGTGGGGGTGCTGCAAGCCCAGCGTCTGGCTAGAGTCAGCAGGGCACCCCCACACCAGGGCTGGGCAGAAGACACTCCTGACTTATGTGTACACAGCTACATGAAGCCACTCCTGCATACACATCTACACACTCTCACAGCCATGTGTGTAGACATGTTCCAACTCACTCTGCACACCAACGCATGTGTACCCAAGTGCACTCATGAATATACCAAGTATGCATGCAAGCAAAATTTTACATGTGCATAAGTCACCTGCCAGACATGCACACGTTTACGTATGGACATCCAAACATACACAAACACACCTCCACTAAACACACAAATGCAGTCACATTATATGGGCTTGCAAACATGCATTCACATGTTCCACTTGCCTGTGGATGTCCTGAGTGTTCCTGTAGGCAGGCACCAGCATCCAACCATGCACGTGTGCGAATATGTGTGGCTTTCAGACAGACATGCACACTTATACCACTCATGAACAAGCCACCAAGAGGCCACAGGCTAAGAAGAACGCTCGTTAGCCTGCCTCACTTTACACAAAAGGAGGCTGGAGGTTTGCTTGGTCTCCTGGTGGGGGTAGGGAGTAGTGGAACCCACCCAGTTCCAAGTTGCCTTTTCCTGAGCCTCCATGCTAAATGCCTAACCCCGAGACCTCCTCTGCGTCCCTGCTAAGCCTTCAGGAGGCCACAGGGACCCTGTCAGGGCTCCCAGACAACAGGGCAGAGCCCTGGCTTTAGCCCTCGCATTCCAGTCTCCTTGGCTGGGGCCCAAGTCGATAAGGTGCTCTGCTCTCTTGTAGACAGTCTGGGGCATTGATAAGAAAAGGGTTTCTCTTTCCATGTCTGCTGTCAGCTTGCTGTGTGACTTTGGGCAAGTTACTGGGCCTATCTGTGCCTCGGTTCTTCATCTGTAAAATAAGAATAAAAGGCTGTGTTGGTAATCCTTCTAAGACTGTTCTGAGGAGCCCATGGGGAGGTGTTTACAGATGTGCTTCACTTAGGCACATACTCTGGGAGTGGCATCTCCTCCCGAGATGGTAAGACACCAGAGTGGAGGGTTGCATACATCATCATGGTCAACTCTGTGAATAGGCAAGGAAGCTGAGGCCCAAAGAGGTACAGCAAGGTGGGAGCTAGAAGACTCAGTCAGGAAGTCAGCCCGCCTCTGAGATGTATCAGTGTGAACTTGTGAGTGCACACTGTGGACATATATGCACAGTGCCTAGGGTAAGGATAGGAAGGGTGTCTATGCAGGGCCCCTTGCCTTCCCATCACCAAGGCACTGACAATTCCACCAGTAGATTCTTTTGGGTGTGAAAGGCTCCCTGCCCCCCTGCAAACTTCCAAGAGCGCCTCCTAGGCACCCACAATTCCTGGGGCTGGGGGGCAGTCCAGCAGGAACACCTGAAACTGCTTTCGGATGCATGATCTAGGAAATTAGCTGCCGTCCACCCCAGAACAGGACTTCCAGGAAATGGTGCCAGGTTGCCCTGGTCACTGGGCAGCCAGGAGGGGGCAGTGAGGAACCAGCAGAGGCAGCGAGTAGACAGGGTGGTGCCTGAGGACTCTGTGCAGGGCTTGCCTGTGGTTCTGTTCCTGTAACTCTATGCTGATGTGTGTCCTCGTTTGCACAGGGGGAGGGAGGCTCCGTGCACAATGTGTGCTTGTGTCCCCAGGCCTGTGTTCTCCTGGGTGCCCGCTTATACCTTTGTCTCTTCGCAGTATACATGTCTGGGTACACACTCATATGTGTAAATGTGTCTGTGTGAAGCCCCAGTCCATACCTGGGGAACCCATGTTCTTTCCAGGTAGCTGAGGGTAGGCCCTCAGTTGAGCTCGTTTGATTTCAAAACAAGGGCAAAAATAGCTATCACCTGCTATTGCACCTGTAAAACTGGGCACCAGGGGGTGGGGCAAATAAGAATGGAAACCTTGAACATGCTCCCTATATTAGACTAGGATTCTAGATGGATTCTTAAGCTGTTTAAATTGCATAGTGCATGGGCTCCAGCTTGAGAGAGACCTGTATTTGAACCTTGCTCTGCTCCTGGCCAGCTATGTGATCTTAAGCAACTGTGAGTCTGCTTTTCTCATGTGTTAAATGGGGGACCCTTGCTGCTTAAGGTGGAAATAAAAGATATGCAGTCTTTGGCAGGTAGTGGGCGCTCAATAAATGCTCATTCTTCCCAGGAGCAGCCCAAAGAGGTGAAGCAACTTGCACAGGGTAACAGCTCCCGAGTGGCGGAGCCAGAATTCAGGCTCAGGCCTCTTGATTCCCAGGACCACATTCTTCCCTCCAATTCTCTAGCAAGGGCGGCTCCTGACACCACCATTTTGTCTTCTGCCAGGGCGGGCGTCTGGCTGCCTGTCAGTCACCGGCCTCGGGAAGCCAAGTGCTGACTAAACACAGGCCTGAGCAGGCGGGTGGAGTGGAGGGGCTCCGCGGCCCCCTTCCCTGCACCCCCACCTCCAGCGCGATGAGCTCAGAGCGGCTGGCGCAGCAGTTGCTGACAATTCAAAACTTCTGCCCCCTCTCCTGGGACGCCAGTGGGTGACTCTCTCTGAACAGCAGGCGTGACCCGCAGAGTCACCAACCCTGCTCCTGCCCATCTCCCAGGGGCCACCCCACTGCGTCTGCTCCCAGAACGAGGTGTCTGCTCATAAATTACCCCCAGGGACAGTTACCCGCAGCAGCTGTGCTCAGAACAACCGTTGCTTCCTGGGTAGGTCATTTTTGGGGGGTCAAAATATAAACCAGGTCCCTTGTCTTCCTCAGGCAGGAGAGAGGGCGTGCAGCAGCCCAAACCTTTTATCGGATTCCATTGTAAATCGTTCTATTTAAGGTAAGTTGCTTGGGTCTGAGAGGCAGACAAGATGCCGGCCAGATGTGAGCTGCATCAGCATGCAGCCTGTGCTCCTCTCCTGCCGGATGCATGGGGGTGCTGGCAGCAGGTCTCCCATGGCCCCTGCACACCCCCTTCCTCATGGTGAGAGGAGCCTGGGGATCTGGGCCTGTAAGCCCCCAGCTTGGGTCTTCTCCTAAACCAAAATGGCTTCCAGTCATCTGCACCTCCAGCATATGACAGATTTCTACACAGTGTCCTGCCCTTCAGGTCCACCCACACCAGAGCAACCTCCCGAGCTCTGGCCACCACTTGTGGCTACCAGTGTTGCTCTCTTCTAATCTCTTCTCCCATTAAAAAACACACACACCAGAGATGGCTGAGTGGCTACAAAGACTTTATCAAATTATTTAAAACGTCGGCATTTAAGTATTCATGTGTATACATAAAGTAGTTACAAGAAGCTTCCGGTCACTGGGGCACAGATGTGGTACACACAGGAGTCTGGCAGGGAAGCAAATGAGACCAGGCTTGGAGCCACAGGGTTTTAAAGAACTGGATGTCCTCCCAAGGGTCTGAGAACAGGGTGAGAGGAAAGGGTCGCTTGCGGGGTCTGGCTGAGTCCACTGCTCAGATCTCCAGCTGAAGCTCTCCTTTCCTGTCCTCAGGGGAAAGCCTGTTTTCAGACCGCATCCCCACTCCATACACGCCTACTCCTTAACATCTCAATGTGACAAACACACCCAAGAACCCACTGGAATATGTCCTTATAAATATATTTATATCAGAGAAAACAAGGCACTTTGGGAACATTATGGCTTACTCTACTACATGTACATCATTCTAGACAGAAAGTAAAAATTGGTTAGTTTCTCAAGTGAATTAACTGAATAAAGTTAATACAGTAACAAAATTGTTCCCTAGCCCTCAAGGAGGCACTGCTAAAGTGAACTTGGCAGGAGGCACACAAAGAGGCACATCTCTGTGCAACACCTGGTCCCAGGTCGACTGGCCCCCAGCAGAGCTCAAAGCCTGATGGCCCCAGGAAGCCTGACACCTCTCCTGAGCAAAGCCCCCTGGCCTCTGAGCACTGCTCCCTCCCAGACCCTGAGGTCAGGTGAGGGGCTGCAGTGGGAAGCAGTCCTAGAGCAGAGCTGGGACACGGTGGGAATGCTTAAGCAGGGTCACCAAAACCACAGAGACCTCAATCTGTCCAAGCTGGCGCTGCAGAGTCGGAGGATCAGCGCCACGGGAAGAGATTTCACATTAGCCCTGACAACGCCGCCTCGGTTCTGCGGTGACATTGGCCAGGGTCGTTTCTGAGGGCGCTTGAGTTTCCATCAGAAGCAAGCTGGAGCTTGGGCAGGCCAGCCTGAGTCTCCAAGGGCTTGTCAGGACCGCCCCCTCCCTGTGGGCTGCTCCTTTGGAATGTACCCATCTCAGGACCAAGGCAAAGCCACAAGTCACTTCTGAAACTGCCTGGAATGGGGGCAGGTCCCTCTGGACTGGGCAAAACGGGATGGGAGGAGGCTCCTTGGTTTTGGTGCTTAAGGGTCCCTATGGGCCATTGTTCCATTCTCATACAAACCTCAGCCCAGTTTAAATAACCACTAAACGCTGCACTCTACAATTACAGGACTCCAAAACACAGGATTACCTGTATTGGGTCCTTTATCATCTTAAAGGGCTCTGGGTTTAAAGAAGCAAATTTTTTTGGTGCACATATGCATAAGTAGAGCCCAGAGGGCCTCTCGGCTGACTGGGTCCCCAGCCCCCCGAGCTGAGGAGGCTTCGCAAGGCCGGCTGCTACAAAGCACCAAGCTTGGCTGCATGGATTTTAATGAGAGCGTCAGGCAGAGCTGTGCTGTTGCTCTCCGGGACTTGCAGATCATTACCAAACCAGCTGTAGGATGAGAACACTGCACATCGAAACCCTAGGAGGTCACTGAGCTAATGATCTAATCCTACCTTCCGCAGGCAGTGCCCCTCCCCACCTCCTCCTGCCCCCAGCCCTTTCCACAGTGGACTCTGTCCATTCTCGAAGCCAGGCCAGTACCACCCCCTTCAAGGTCAGAGCAGAACGAGAGTGAGTGGCTCTGGCTCCCTCTTTTCCGGAAAGGAGGAGGATGGGGGTAATTTAGTCAAAGTCATTAGGCCCAAACCCTGGCCTGGCCAGGCCCCAGGACTCCTATTTGGGAGAACCGATGCCCTCTGCCTGCCTCTCTAGCCACCGCTAGGCTGCAGCCGGGGCACCTTCAACAGCCATTTTAGGGTTCTGGTGAAAGCATCTTCAGCTTCCAAAGTGCAGGGTAGGAAGCAAGGTAGGGGCCCACACAGTCTGGTGTTTCAGCATGCAGCATGGTACCAAGCTCTGTGCAGAGACACCTGATTTGGGGAGAGGGAGGAGAGCACACTCGGGAGCAGTTGCAGCGGGAGGGCATGCTGGCACCTAAAGGCCCGCAGCCCGAGTTCCAGGAAAGAAGGCAGAGGGAAAACATTCAGCAAGGGCACAGCGGCAGAACCCATGATTACACACTCTCCTCAAGCCGGAGGGGTTTATGAGGGCTTTGGCAATTACTACAACCATTTGCTGTGCTGGGTAGAGACAGATCCTGTTTCTCTTTGTTTCAGGGCTCTGAAAGCTGGAGAAGCCAGGAGAAGCCGATTTCAGCGTAAGAGGCTACATAATAGTTAAGGCAGAAGAGAAGAAACCTCACTGTTGGCCAGAGCTGATCAGTTTTTTTCCCCTCGGGATAATAGCACCTGTGTATTAGCTCTGGGAAAGGGGGAGGGGAGGAAGGGAGGGAACATCACCATGTGCAGTGAAGGGAGAACTGGAAACAGGACCTAGAGTCCCTCTGCCTTTCAGCCAGCTTCACGGCTGCCAGGCTCCCCCAGGCAGGTACCTGCACGGCTGCCAGCCTGAGGGACTGAAGTTTCTACAGTTGGCAGGATCTATGCTTAAATTGGGGAAATAAAAGGGGGAGGAGTTGCAGAGGAACTGAAAACAGCACCTGTCAAAGCTGCCTTCTCCTTCCTTCTCTCACTACTCTGGTCCCCAGAAGGGCACTCCCAAGGCCACGTGGGTGGCTGGTCACAGGAAAGTGGCAACAAAGAATGACAAGAGAGGCTATGAAGGTATGAGCAGCACTGACAGGACTGGCACAGGCCCTGAGCCCTCCTACTAAGACCCTCACCTATGGTGAGGTCTGGAGGATCTTAGAGCCAGGAAAGCTCTGCCCAGACTCCAGCAGGTGCCCATTATTTGGTCCCAGAAAGCACAGGTGACTTGGAATCAGGCACTCTGGGCTTTAGCTCTGTCACTATCCAACTGTGTGACCTTGAACAAGTCACTTCCCATCTCTAGGCCTCAGCGTCCTTAAGAGGGTGGTACCGGAGGAGTTCCACTGTCCTTCCAGGTCTGTAGATCCAAGTCTCTCAACTTTGATCGTGACAGCCAGCAGAGGCCCTGGTCCCTGTGTGTCAGGGCTAGTTTGGTCATGAATGTTCAAGGCTAAAAACTGGGCTGGGCTGCCTGAAGGCACCTAGGGGTAAGGGAGGGGCACTTAAGGGACCCCTGAACACCATACTCACCATGAGGGAGCCTGGGAAGGAGACAGCCACCGCAGCCTTCAGAAAAGCATCATTTCTGGGCAAAGGGGGTGAGACATTCTTTAGAGGCTTGATGCCTCTTGGAGTAAACAGCATCCCAGTCTTAGAGTTGCTCAGTAAAAGGCAGCTCCACCCTGCTGATTGGGGCAGAGGGTGAGGCAGTCTGGCTGCTGGGGCTTTTGGCCTGTTCTGCCCTCTCAGAAAACAGGAAAGGGGCCAGCTATGTCCATGCAGGCCACTCTCACCGCTCTAGGACCAGAAGATAGCTGGTGTTATTTGAAATAGATGAGGGCAAGGATTTTGAAAGGAGATCACAGTTAAATAAGGATCCTAGAAGAAGGCACCATCTCCAACTGAAACCCGATCAAAGGGATCTGCTTTGGGGATTTTCCTTCCTTTCAATATGCAACAGTCACTTGAAGGGAAGAGAGAACAGCCTAGCTCCTGAACCTCAGGAGCTCCCGGGCCTGACAATATTGATTTGGAGGAAGCACTTGGATATATCTTTGGTTGCTTCAGGGAAAGCTTTGGCCCCTTGAAATTCCACCCCCCACCCACTCCACACCTTCTCCCCCACGGATTGTTGGGGTAGAAGGTGGGCAGCAGGCAGAAAGAGTTAATCCGACCAGTCGTCCTCATCAAACTCAGAGGAGTCATCTTCTGAGTCACTGTACTCCACAGCAATGCGACGCGACAAGATGGTGGCCACGTCATTGCCCACAACATCCCTTTTCTCTTGTTCCCGTTGCTCCTCAACCCTGCGCAGCTGAAAACCTGTGGGCAGAGAGAGAGAGAAGGGTGAGGAAGGCACGACCTCAGTCTCAGGGTCCATCCAGGACTGGGTGAGGGGGAGTGGTCACTGATGGGGGAGTACTGGAAAGGACAGAGAAAAGGAATGCTCCTCTGGAATGCGAAGAGAGAAAGGGATAGCAGTAGAAGTAAAGATGGGGTTCTATTCAATTGGTGGTCCGGGTCCTATAGGTGTGTCTGAAAGGAAGCCTGCCAACCTTCTTGGCTTACACAATCTCAGACTAGTGAGTCTTTCTCATGAGACTTTGAGTGGGGAGCAGTCACGACATTCCATCTAGCAGGTCCTCAGCCTGCCCAGTTTCATCGATTATAATGGGCTCAGCTGCCCCAGAACGTCTCCCTTTGACTAGAAGTTCCCTGAAGATCACAAGCAGAACTACTACAACCCCTTGGGATTAGACCTGGTTCCTGTCAGAAAGAGAATAAATGCACCATCGCTCCAGGAAGGTGAGATGGTGAGGAGAGATGGAGGGGAAAAGAAAGAAAGGAAAGGGGTTAAGAGGTGAGGGGAGAAAAAAAAGGGTAAGAAAAAGGGCAAAGGGAGGGAGGACATGAAGGGTAGAGCAGGATGGCTGGGTCCAGCTGAACAAGAACAGTGATTGTTGTTTTTTTCTGAGGCACAAAACCCTTCTGAGAATCTGATTTAAAAATGGGGCTCTTTCCCAAGGAAAAAAAATTGCATGCAAACACACAAAGAGCATACATTTTCAAAGTTAAGATTCCAGATTAAGAATCTCTTACTTCAGGTTGGGCATAGTGGCTGACGCCTGTAATCCTAGCACTTTGGGAGGTCTCGGTGAGAGGATTGCCTGAGCCTAGGGGTTCAAGACCAGCCTGGGCAACTTAGTGAGACCTCATCTCTACAACAAATCAATAAAAGTTAGCCTGGGGTGGTGGCACATGCCTGTAGTTCCAGCTACTTGGAAGGTTGAGGCAGAAGGATTGCCTGAGCCCAGCAGATCAAGGCTGCGGTGGCCGTGAGCATTCTAGCCTGGGTGACAGAGTGACTCTGACTCAAAAAAAAAAAAAAAAAAATATATATATATATATATAAAAATATATTTTAGTTCAAACCAAGGTGGAAAGAAATCTCAGTGTCTATACTTTAAGGGTGAAGCCTTCTTTTTTCAGGTTGCTCCAAGGTCTGCAATCCCAATCTCTCTCCACCCAATGAAAGCTATTTTCTGAGAAGGGCACAGAGCACCCCTTACCCACCCCTCAATCGGTCAGCTCTAGAAAGACAAGGCTCTAGGGCCCCAGACCCACCACTGGGATTTACCTTGACGGATGGCTGAAAGCAGGTCACTACGGGCATCACTCACAGCAGGCAAGGAGGACTTGGGCTTGGTGGCATCAGAAATTGGTGGTGGTGCGGCAGGCTGGCCATCCGCACCACTAAAAGGGAGAGGAGGGGGTCCTGGAGGAGGGGGTGGGGGCGGAGGGGGAGGTGCTCCTCCTGCTGGTTGAGACAAGGGAGGTGGTGGCAGAGTTGGGTAGTCAGCTGCTGGTGGTGGGGGAGGAGGTGGTGGGGCAGCAAAATCAGGGTGAGGTGGGAAAGATGGAGGTGAAGGTGGTGGAGGGGTCCCTGAAGACCCAAATCCTACAGGTGGTGGTGGAGGTGGGATGCCCATCATTGGAGGTGGAGGTGGAGGGGCAGGTGGTGGAGCAAATCCAGGTTTAGGACCCGGTGAAGAGCCCAGAGGAGGAGCTGGTGGTGGATGGCTTGGGCTGACCACACTGGATCTTTTGGGTCCAGCCAAGCCAGATCCTCTTTGGTTGTCTGCTGGGTAGCTACAAGGCCAAAGAAAAAAGACCCACCATCACTGAAAGGTTGCAGATACCCACCTACAGTTAGGCTCATCTATAAGCCTAGGTTTAACTTGGTCGACCACACCACTTCACTTTGGCTCAAACAGAAAGAAAATCCCGGGTATGGTCAGAACAGACCAACAATAGAATGGGCAACAATAAAATAAGGTAATGAGGCCAGGCTCGGTGGCTCAGCCTGTAATCCCAGCACTTTGGGAGGTAGAGGTGAGTGGATTGCCTGAGCCCACTGGTTTGAGACCCACCCGGGCAACTTGGCGAGAACTTGTCTCTACAATAAATCAAAATTTAGCCAGGCGTGGTAGTGCACGCCTGTAGTTCTGGCTACTTGGAAGGCTGAGGCGGAAGGATCACTGGAGCCCAGCAGGTTGAGGCTGTGGTGGCCAGGAGCATGCCACTGCACTCCAGTCTGGGCAACAGAGTGAGACTCTAACTCAAAAAATAAATAAATAAATAAGGTAATGAGCTTCCCATTAGCACAGGAGTATAATCAGAAATTGAGGAACACTACCTGAAATAAGTGGATTTGAGATTCCTCTATCAGACAAAGACTTGGCCAAGACATCTCTTAGGCCTTCCTCTGATTTTTTGGCTCTCCAGAGGAAGGTACCCTCCGGAACCCTCCTCTAAGAGGAATAGTCCAAGGGCGGCTGTCAGTTTAATCCCAGAGCCAGGACTAAGAGTAAGAATGAACCGGAATAAAGTCCAAACACCACCCACTCTCTGGGCTCTGTTCCTTGGGCTATTAACATTCACCAGATCTGGGGAGGGCAGGAAACCCAAGCCAAGCTGATCAAACCTGAGCAGGATATAGATTTAGGTGAATGCATTTTCAGCGTTCATGTGGGGCAAGCTTGAGAGAGAATGAGTCTCCACCTGAGGATCTGCAGAGATGGGAAATGAAAATCCCACCACACTCTTGACCCAGGTCTGAAAGAGGATTAAGCTACACCTCTCCTGGGATAAGATTTGCTCGACTGCAGCTGCAAAGGTCTCAGGCCATGTGTGAGGCTGAAGGTTTTCTTTTTCCACCTTTGTATCTGCCCTGAACTAATAGCTACTCCTTAGAAAAGCATCCATCTTGGAATTTTCCACAGACCTTCAAGCTTTAGCTGTATCTGACAGGGCAACCAGCAGGAAGTGATTTGGGAGGCAGAAGGAGATTTGGAATTAGTGGTTTCGAGGGCCAAGAAAAATGAGGGGAGAGGGGGTGGACAGCATTGCTTTACGTCTCCATCTGTGGGGTCCTCAATATATTCAATCTCTAACTAAATAGTTAATGTCCAAGGATAAAAGTGCACCTTTCTTTTTATTTTTATTTTTTGTAAAAGTGCACCTTTCAAAGCTCTCACTTGTTAGGCATCAGAAAGGACAGAAGTAACTGAGAGAAAACAGTGTAATCTGAACAACCCTCAGACCTCCTTTCAGCCATTCCTGGCTACCTCTTCCTCTGTACACCTCTGCCAAGGACACTAATAAATATCAAAATGAACAGATTTGAAGTTCCATCCCTCTTTTCCCTTTGTTTCATTCTTTCTGGAGATTCTATACAGCAATGAAATGAACCAATAGGAGAAGAAGGTGACTACCTGCTAGGTTTCTAGATAGATAGGCAAGATGTCTGCTAACTATTTCATGGACAGCAGATTGTACCACTTCATTTCATGCTGAGTTTAAGTTAAGTAATAAAACAAGAGAAGTTGGTGACTTCTATCTGTTTGGGTATAAGCAAAATAGGGAGTAGATAAGAACACAGGTTCTGGAATCCAACTGACCAATCATGGTTCTGCCTCTTACAGGCTGTATGACCTTAGGTGAATTCATTGACCCCTCTATGCCTCAGAATTTACTCATCTGTAACATGGATAATAACAGAACCTATGTCAAGAGGACTACTCTGGGGATTAAGCAACATGAACAGTGTTTAGCATAATACCTGGCTCTTTGCAAACGCTTGGTAAATGTTAATTATTTCTGTTACCTAGACAGACTTGCCTGGAGTTATTTTAGTGGTCCTGATCTAGATTTTGAACTCCTATTTTATTCTTGAGTATATAACCACAAGAGTAAATGGAAGAGGTACCATCATTTACCTGAATTCTGCTGGTGGGGGAGGCAAGTTGTCCTCAGAAAAGGAAGGAGAAGGTGAAGAAGCAGAGTCTGATTGTGGTGGTGGTGGATAGCTGCTTGCATCCACATTTTCAACAGAGCCAATGCTGCCATTCTGGTACACCAAGATGGGTGGATACCTGATAATGAACCCAATGCCAAAAACTGTCATCAAAAGAGGCTGAGTGGTACTCTCTTTCCTTCTTAAAAGATACTACAAACATGCATTTGATATAAAAGCTATTAGGGAGAAATAAAATAAGTATATTTCTCATATATTTTCTGTCACACTGAAATTTTATTTTAGGATTAGATATTCTATTGTTAAAGATCTCCCAGATATTTCTGCTGAATTGTTTGTAGTAATGGGATTCAACCCAGATTATCAAAACCATACTGTTCCTTGCCCAGTGTTGGCCTTGTCAAACCCAGCAGTTCTTTTAAATTCTCTCCCCAATGTCAGGTGCAGCTGTACCTGAATCCCAAAGTCTGTCTTGTGGCAAAGGGTGAAGCCAAGCCCCACAGGCTAGTGAGTTGCAAACACGTGACTGGCACACAGCCTGATTTTGAGGTCGGCAGGCCTCTGGAGTGCTCAAAGGCCAAGGAGGCATTTGATTGCAAAATCAAGCCCAGGATGAATGCAGGCTGCTCTGTGGCAGTAAACGTGATCTCTGCCAGGTCTCTTATCACACAAAATGAGCTGATGATTAAAGTAGGGTGCTAGGGCTTGCCTCATGAAAACCTGTTTCTCAGAGCACTGGGCCTCGGGTGAATTTGTTCTGGGTGAACAACAACAAAACTTCAAACAAGCACAAATACACCAAGCATTAGCTAGCAAAATTTGGCCTGCTCTGCTCCACCTCTCTCTTCTTTCCACCATTGTTGGGTTCTAAAGAATCACCTAAAACAGATCCCAGGGAGAACAGAATTGAGGGAAACTAACTGAACCAAGAGATGCTCTGATGTGGAAAATCCCCAAGGCCTGGAGCCCTTATAGGCTTGGCTCATCTCTTTACAGGTTTACTCACAAGTATGTCCAGATAGACTAGCCATAGAGCCCAACTCCAAACCTCCTGGACAAGAGGAAAATGGGAGGCAAATGCTCATCTTCACCACCTGCACTCCACAAAAAAAGACACACATTGCAGCTGGCATTCTAGCATGCAAGCTTCTGGTCTTAGAGTACCTGAACCTATGACAAGTGCCTGTCTAAGCAGGATGGGACCACAGAACAAGACGGCCCCCTTTCCTGGGAGGTGAAGGTAATTGTTACCCTCAGGGCTGATTGCCCCGTAGAGAATGGTCCATTTTTCCTTTTATCATCGTCATCACTCTTTAAAACAAATCTCTTAATCCACGAAGAACAAGTGTCAGAAGTGTCAAGATTTTTAAAGTCAAGATTTTCATGGTAGAGTTATTCCTAAAAGCAAGAACAATTCAACTCTCTCCTTTTATCATACCTAGACATCCGGCATGGGCGCTAGCATGATTCTCTGACAGTCAGGACGCAATGTATTTAGAGGAAAAACCAGGGCAACACTCATGCCAAGCAGTCGTGGTGACTTTGGCTTTGAATGTCACAAAGGTCAGACACCAGGATAAGCATCAAACCAAGCTTTAAAACCATTTTTTCCCTTTAAACCTCTAGTGTGATTTGGTATTGGGAAATGGGGTCAGACTGCCATCTCTTATTTCTCCACAGAGATATATAGCCTCAATACTGGCCGAGTAGCCTTTCCCACACTATCTCTGAGGTCTGCATTCAATTCCCTGGCCAGTCTCTCTCCAAGACCAACAAAGGCTGACTGAAAAGTCGCTTTGGTGATGTACACAACTTCCCTGTCCGGCCCTCCCACTGCCGTGAGATGCCCAGCTCTTAGGCATGACCTTCAAATCAATCCTCTGGAGGCAAAGGGCTCCCAAGATTGCTTGTATTCCCTTTTCAGTCTCTCCTCTGAGGCCCTTAGACAACCAGTGTCTGGCAGAATAAGGACACTAGCAGCCATGGGCTTTCTTTTCTAGATCACTCTGGTCACCTCATTTAAATTGCCGGGTCTCTTGATTTATTTAGCAAATTTTAATTACCAGATGGATGCACTTTAAAGTACCTGATTAATAGTGGTATTGATCTAAGCCATACATCCAGACTGCAGGGGATATGAAAGGTGTCACACCAGAGCTGCCAGACTTGTTCCCAGCCCCTTCAAACATTGCTACCGAAAGTACAAAAGCATCACCTACCCAGAAGGTCCTAGTTTTTCTTTGGACTCCACAAATTCTTGTCCCATTTTCATTTTCTCCCACTCTTCCTTACGTGTCTTGATTTTACGTGGGTTTACATTCCCTCGATTTGGATTATCTTTCTTTTCTTTCTACAGTGAAAAGGAACAGAAAATCCATTGTAAAACATTTTCCAAAGTTCTTCATTAAAATTCTACCCATCTTCATGAATGTCCATCCAAGAGATGATCTGCCTAGATAGCATACAATATCTACAAAACCTACAGACTTATTGGGTTTGGAGTGACCTAGAGGCCATCTAATCCAAACCATCCCCTGGGCAAAACACTCAAATGCTGCTAGCAATAAGAAACCCACTCCCTCTTTGGGTAAATCATTTGTGTTTTTGAACAGCTCTAACTGTAATGAAGTTAGTAAACAGCTATTTGCTATTTGTCCTGTGAGAAAGGTCAGTCAAGAAAGATGAGAAGTCATAACAGCTGCAGATATCCGAGGCAGACATAAGGAAACAGTTAAAAAACAAAACAAAATAAAAACCAATGAAGAAATTTTCAGCCTGTGCAGATGAGAGCCCCGGTGCTCTCTTGAGCCTCCCAGCAGCCATGCTAATGGGCTTGGAAGGTTATATACATAGCAGGAGGAATCTAAGGGGAGAGGAAAATCTCTAAAAACTAAACATATTCCTCCAGCCTAGCCCCACCCAACCAGTATTGAAGGTGTTAAACTGCTCCTGTTGCAAATCAAACACTGCAGAACCTTGTGCTGATCTCTGAGAAATAAGCTGAAAACGGGCCGGGAAGGGACTAGCCTAGCTTGAGTGTCCAGCAGAGTCAGGTGCAAATTGCAAGAGAAATAAATGGTGAATAGAAAAGTCAATTTCTAAAACTCAGTCTGAATATACTCAATTGTTAATAGCGCTGGGGGGAACAAACACATTTTTGGTGTGATTTATACTTTCATCTTGGTTGTGCTTGGTGTGGACACATTTTTTTAAGAGTTTCACCTGGCATCCAAGCAACCAGTCACTCGAAATGATTACTTCACATAAGTCTGGCTTCCTTTTTATCCCCCCTCCACAATCGTGCCTACTGATGTGTAGAACAGAGGCCCCTTTCCCCTCACCCTATGCTTTCTCTTCTCTTTCATGATATCCTTGGTGTCCTGCAGCATCTTCTCCTTCCAAAGATCAAAGAAGTATGAAGGGTCTGTGTAGAATTTGAGTGCCTCTTTTCCATCGTCCCTGGGATAGAAATGAAGACAAGTAGCTGTCAGTAGACAGATGAGCTCCCAACCAAATCCAATATTCCAAACACCTACCAGTTAGCAGTTTTTACACCAAGGAATCAAGAAGTCATTTGAATCGATTCCATATTTCCTCTCCCATACCAGCATTTCAATGCCCCTGAATGGTACCTCACTACCCACCTGGCTTTTTAAGAACCTTATCCTTCCTTTCAATACCTGGTAGAGAAATTTGCATGGTCAGGTCAAGAACAGGCTATAGCAGCAGGGATCCTGATTATTTCGACCAATCTGCATGGCCACAGATATCTCCCTGAGGATATCTGGATATTCTGGCACATCAGAGGGGATTTCTATCATTCCTCCACCAATTCTCCAGGACTCTCTAGGAAGCATTAGTGGCTTTCTACTCACCTGAAATCTGTGTACACGTGTACAGGTTTCATGTGTATACACACAAATGTATATGTACATACATGAACTATGTATGTGTGTACAGCTGTTATCCTCTGCACACACAGATAACTCCACTTTCTTGCTCCCTTCTAGAATAGAATAGTTCAGCAACTGCCCCCCCAACCACAAGGGGGCCCCAGTGAAAACAGACGACTAGCCGTTTTAAGATTACAAAGTTGAATTACCATCTCAGGGGCTGCTACAGAAGTACAGAGTGAGCCACTGAGTGTCAACATAAGGTCTAAATGTCAGTCTCCATGATCCTGCAGGTTAGAATCCTGCACTTCCACGTGTCTAAGCCCCTCTCACTATCCAGAAAGCATGTGCTTAGGGGTGAACACTTATTTCAACATTATTCTAAGCTAAAAAGAACTGGAAAGGCAATTCCATGCCATGTTCTCCAATCCTATCACAACACACAGAGAGTATTTCTAAATCAAACATTAATGATTTCTGTTAGGCCAAATCCAGATAATTGAGAGGAGATGCTAATTCTGGTACTGCACACTAAAAAGGAAAATACAAGCTGGGTGTGGTGGCTCACATCTATAATCCCAGTATTTTGGAAGGCCAAGGTAGGAAAATTGCTTGAGACCAGGAATTCAAGACTAGCCTGGGTGACACAGTGAGACCACATTTCTACCAAAAATAAAAAAATTAGCTGGATGTGGTGGCGTGTGCCTGTAGTCCCAGCTACTTGGGAAGCTAAGGAGGGAGGATTGCTTGAACCCAGGAGTTTGAGACTACGGTGAGTAGTGCTTATGTCACCGTGCTCCAGCCAGGGCAACAGAGTGACATCTCAACTCAAAAATTAAAAAAATAAATAAAGGAATATACTATTAACTGAAGATAGTAATTATCTTAATGTCATTGTTTATCTTACTCTACTATGCAAACCCTATGTCATACTCCCTACAATATTATCAGATATGTGATCCCTTTCCTACCACACAACCCTTCTGTCCAAACCCAACTAGACTCAGTGATGGAGGTTACAGAGTCAAGTCTCTGTCCTGCCATCTAGCTAACCCCTTTATTTGTTTGTTTTTCTTTTTTTTTCTTTTTATTTTGAGTTGGAGTCTCACTCAGTCGCCCAAACTGGAGTGCAGTGGCCATTCCCAGCCACCGCAGCCTCGATCCGCTGGGCTCCGGCAATCCTTCCACCTCAGCCTTCCAGTAGCTGGAACTACAGGCGCGTGCTACCACACCCAGCTAATTTTTTATTTATTGTAGAGATGAAGTCTCACCTGCCCAGGCGGGTCTCAAACCCGTGGGCTCAGGCAATCCACTCACCTCAGCCTCCCAAAGCGCTGGAGTTACAGGCTGAGCCACCAAGCCCGGCTTGTTTTGCTTTTTGAGTTGGAGTCTCACTCTGTTGCCCAGGCTGGAGTGCAGTGGCACACTCATGGCCACCACAGCCTCAACCTGCTGGGTTCAAGTGATCCTTCTGCTCAGTCTTCCAAGTAGCTGGAACTACAGGCATGCGCCACCACATCCAGCTAATTTTTTGATTTGTGGTAGAGATAAGGTCTCACCAAGTTGCCCAGGCTGGTCTCAAACCTGTGGGCTCAGGCAATCCTCTCACCTCAGCCTCCCAAAGTGCTAGCATTATAGGTGTGAGCCACCGCAGCCAGCCTAGCTAGCCTTTTGAAAGTCAAGGGGCAAATATAAGTTTACACAGTAATAATGAAGGACAGATACCCTGTATTCACTTTATATCTGTGTGAGAAGCTACCAAGCTCTTATTCCAGGCTCCCTGAATCAAGCTAGTGTCCTTGAATTTCACAGGGATGTTCTCTCTCTCTCTCTTCTCTCCTCTCTCTCTCTCTCTCTCCTCTCCTCTCTCCTCTCTCTCTCTCTCTTCTCTCCTCTCTCTCCCTCTCCCCTCCCCTTGCAGTGTACCCATGTCTGATAGAAGACATCCGCCTCCAGCTATCTGTAATTACTTTTTACCTGTTCCAAAGATATTTATGGATGTAAGTAAGATAAATATTCGCTTTCTGCCCCTGTTCAGTAGTTTTTTTGCAGGATGACAACACTACCAAACCACTAGAGGGGAAGGGCTTTAAGTTGTCTGTAAGGCTACCTTCTGTTTCAAGTCTAGCCACAGCATGGTAGGTCCTGTCAGAAGGAAATGTCCAGAGGATATTCAAAACAAAGTGAACGATCCTTATTTGGAAGAATGCCAATTACTCCTTAGGCTTTGGAAAGACCCCTCTGGGTCCAGAGCAGCTAGTCCAGGAGGCTGGCCCCACTAACATGCCCAAACATCTGGTAATCTAGTGGTTTCCAAGTAAGTGGGAGTCTTGCTAGAATACTGCCCCTGGGATCCACGCTATAGGACTGCCTTTTAACAAAGTCCTTTGGTTCTATAATAACTAAATTCCTTGGATAGAATCCAAGATGGACCTGGCTTATACCAAATTAAACTCTGTAGCATGCAATGTTACAGCAAACTTTCAAAATATATTATATGCACTATGAATTTCAGTAACAGTAATACGTGACAACTGCTAATAGAGTAAATTTTAGCTTCTGCTGCCACAAACAACTTTGGGGACAGTAGTAAGCTTTGTAACACAATCCTCTGATGTAAACCTCTTCAGATAAAAAAGACAATCTAATGTTATAGGCCAAAAAAGGGAGGAGTTAGCCAGTCATTACCTATAAGGGGTAAGATTGTTGAGAGGAGGAGGAGCATCACAAGTATTGTATGTTTCTAAGACAGGCACTGGGAGAGAGTTTCTGTCAAAAAGCTTCTGGTCTTGAGTGGTAGAGCTTCTGAAGGCCTTTCGGGTGTTGATTCCTTGTAGTGACACTGAGAGAAGATGGAAGGCATTAGAAAATGGACGACAGGCTATTTGAGCAAACACTGAGTCACACCAGTCGGAGAGGCCTCAGCTGCTGCATTTCTTGGCTGCGGCTGTCTGCAGCCAGGTTTTTTTTTCCTCCCCCTCTGGGGAAGCCCCACAAGGCTGTCAGCAGCCCAGCCATTTCATGACTGAACAAAATGAGGCAATACAAAGGTTTACTATGTGGCCAGATCTAGCAGGCCTCTCCTTAGGAGGAATGAATCTTCCAAGTACTTTTATGGTAGCAAAATACGATTGAGGGAAGGGAAATTTGAGAACAAGGGAATTGGGGAAATGGGAGAAAGGGAGTGTGGGGGTGTGGTAGAGCTAAAAAGGTTTCTTTACACCACCCAGGCTTATGTCATTTTAAAGCAGAACTCCATAGGTTTCTGTGATTTCTCCCCTCACTTGTTTATAAATCAGGGGAAAAAATTCTAAGAAACTGCTCAGCAGGGTCTGCAAATGCTGAGCTCAGCTTTCTTACCTTCCTCTTCCTTGGGATCCAACTGAGTGACTTTAACTTGTAGTCGGTCGACTCTTTTAGCAAGGGAGCTTACTCGAGTGGCAAAAGTATTTGCCTGAGTAAAGAGCTCTCCAAAAATGTCCTCTGCATATTTACCTGGAAAGAGCAAAGAAACCCAAGTCACTAGTGCACAGAAGTAACATGAATGGTCAGAAAAACTGGTTACTAAAAATCATACTCCTGTCTCTCTGTGTGTGTGTGTCTCTCTCTCTCTCTCTCTCTCTCTCTCTCTCTCAGATGGTTTGGGCTATATGCAGAAGATTGCTCATGGAAACAGAGCAATACCCTCCCATAGTTTGAACAATCTACATAGGTCCTATAACTAATAGAGACTTCTTGGCAAACTCTAAAGAGTCATGAAACTCAAAATAGGTTGAATACAATCGAAAGGGGTAACACAAAAAATTAACCCTGAAAAAGAAGATATGTCTACACATTAGTCTACGGCCCTTACCCCCTTGCTGTTCTGTAAAAGCACCTTACAAAATGGTTCTAGAAAAATGACTGGGTGTTAAGAGGACCTTCTAGGTATCCATAATTAACATGAAAAAGAAGAAGTTACTTTTTTGTTTTTTTGAGTTAGAGTCTCACTCTGTTACTCAGACTGGAGTGCAATGGCATGCTCATGGCCATCGCAGCCTCAACCTGCTGGGCTCAGGTAATCCTTCTGCCTCAACCTTCCAAGTAGCTGGAAATACAGGCACATGCCACCATGCCCGGCTAATTTTTTAATTTATTATAGAGATGAGATCTTGCCAAGTTGCCCAGACTGATCTCAAACCCGTGGGCTCAGGCAACCCTCTCACCTCAGCCTCCCCAAGTGCTGGGATTATAGGTGTGAGCCACTGTGCCCGACCTAGAAATTACTTTTTCTGTTTCTTTCTTTTTTTTCTTTTGAGTTGAAGTCTCACTCTGTCGCCCAGACTGAAGTGCAGTGGTATGATCCCAGCCACCGCAGCTTCAACCTGCTGGGCTCCGGCAATCCTTCTGCCTCAGCCTTCCAAGTAGCCAGAACTACAAGCGTGCACTACCACGCCCAGTTAGAAATTACTTTTTCAATGGAGCCTCAAAAGCACATTGAACAACCATGATTACCTGTATCTTTGAGGACCTGGAACTAACTTATCAACAACCCACAGCAGAGATGTACAACTTCTTCTAAGGGGGGTTTATTATGTTGTAATAACCTATAACTTTCAAAGTCTTTGCTCTGGGTTACAGTCCTTCAAATTTACATCTCAGGAAACAAGTGAAAAGCAGAAACTTCCAAGCCTTTCCTGAAAAACAACATACCAGTGGTCTCTTTCCACAATGTCTAGTTTTTAGAAAAAGAAAAGTTCTGTACTTTCAACCCTGGAATGCAAAGAGAATTTGCAGCCAAAGAAACATAACAGCAATTTGACACTACCTCCATATTGTCATTCCAAGCCACAAAGCACATTCTTACTAGGAATGAAAAGTAGTGCATATGAATAAATATACCATCTGAGTTTCTTACTTGCAAGGTAAAGGCAGGCATAAGCGACTGTGCCCAACTAAAAGATAATTTTTTTGAGAACTATTTAAAGTAAGTTCTAATTTTTAGCTTCTAAACTACATTTATGCTTAGTCCATATTTGAAGAGGAAAAAAATTATTCTGAAAGGCCAAAACCACATCTTCAGAGTGAACTGCAGCTTACCTTCCCAGTATAACCTGGAGAGTAAGGATAAAACCAATCAACTGCATATTTTGGACTGCTGGTAAATTTAAGTCAATAGGAGTTTCTAATCAAGGAAGGAGCATGTCCTTGCATACTGAACGGTTTTATGATCTAAACAACTATGGGAAGCTCCTGGACTCAAAGGACTCAAATTAGCTAATGAGCTATATTTCTACTCTGCAGGCTGAGGATCCTATTTGATCGCTGTCCACAATATGGCTAAGTTCCTATAAAATATAACCATACTGTATCATGCTTGTCTAGGCAATGGAAAATTGTGCTTGGAAGGCTAAAGCAGAGAAATATGTAACATTATGTGTGGAAAATAAACCAAGCTCAAAAACATGTTAAAAAAAAAATAAAAACAAAAAATATGTTAGTCATCCAGCTGTTCTGGAGGAAAAAAAAAACCCAAATCAACTTACTCAGGTCACCAAGAAAGTACCCAGGAATTCCTGCTCCTTCATGAAGGGGGCAGTGATAGTGGGAGCTTAGTGTGGCACAGTAATTTGCAAGATAAAAATCTTACAAAGAACCCCAACATATAAAATGGGTAACAATGAGATCTCTATTTTAAGAGGAAGTGAGGTGGTGTGCAGGCTTCCCCACTGCCGCCTCATCTCAGGTCCAAGGCAGACTCAGAACCACACCATGAGACATGGAAGCAGCAGTGGACTTCAAATCAGAAAATTTGGATTTAAGTTTCAGTTCTTTCTATTTATTACTTGTTCACTCTTTAGCAAGTCACAATCTCTCAGCCTTGGTTTTCAAAAATCTGTAAAATGGGGATAACAATATCTATCTCACCAAGTTCCCAGAAGGATTAAATGGGCTAAAAAAATGTAAGTTGTTACAATGAGATTCTTCTTTATATTGCTCAATCACATTAGATGACTTTTAAGAGTGTGAATAAGCCGGACTCAGTGGCTCAGTCTGTAATCCCAGCACTTTGGGGGGCGAGGTGAGAGGAGTGCCTGAGCCCACAGGTTCAAGACCAGTTTGGCAACTCGCTAAGACCTCATCTCTACAATAAATCAAGAAAAATTAGCCAGTCGTGGTGGTGCGTGCCTGTAGTTGCAGCTACTTGAAAAGCTGAGGCAGAAGGATCACCTGAGCCCAGCAGGTCAAGGCTGTGGTGGCCATGAACGTGGACTGCTCTGCAGCCTGGGTGACGGAGTGAGACTCTGACTCAAAAAAAGAAGGTGTGAATATTGCCAGGCATGGTGGCTCATACCTGTAATCCCAGAACTTTGGGAGGCAGAGGCAAGGGCTGCCTAAGCTCAGGGGTTCGAGACCAGCCTGGGAAACTTGGCAAGATCACGTCTCTACAATAAATTAAAAAAAAAAATTAGCTAGATGTGGTGGCACGCACCTGTAGTTCCAGCTACTTGAAAGGCTGAGGTGAGCCAGGTGTGGTGGCTTATGCCTACAAGCCCAGCATTCTGGGAGGCCCAGGAGAGAGGATTGCCTGAGCCAACGGGTTTGAGACCAGCCCAGGCAACTTGGTGAGACCTCATCTCTACAATAAATTATAAAATTAGCCAGGCGTGGTGGTGTGTGCCTATAAATTCCAGCTACTTGGAAGGATAAGGCGGAAGGATCACCTGAGCCCAGCAGGTCTAGGCTGTGGTGGCTGTGAGCATGCTACCACACTCCAGCCTGGGCAACAAAGAAAGACTCCAACTCAAAAAAATAAATAAATAAAAGAAAGAAAGAAAGGCTGAAGTGGAAGGATAACCTGAGTCCTGAGTGCAGGAGGTCAAGACTACAGGAGCTATGAGTGTGCCACTGCACTTCAGCCTGGTGACAAAGCAAGACTCCAACTCAAAAAAGGGGGGGGGGTATGAATAGCTAAATATCCTAAGTTTTAAGCGTACAGGAAAAATTTAAATATAATTCCAATTCCCTATTCTTCAATGCTAAAAAATTACCCCAGTCTCTGAAAACAAAAGTATGATATTTAAACAGGAGGAAACCAAAGTGCCTTGTTTAGAGTTAAATTCCGTTCATTCAGATTACCAAGGCAGACCTGGCTGGGTGTGGTGGCTCACATCTGTAATCCCAGCACTTTGAGAGGCAGAGGTCAGAGGATTGCCTGACCTATGGGCTTGAGACCAGCCTGAGCAACTTGGCAAGACCTCGTCTCTACAATAAATCAAAAAATTAGCTGGGTGTGGTGGCGCATGCCTGTAGTTCCAGCTACTTAGAAAGCTGAGGTAGAAGGATCACTTGAGCCCAGCAGGTCAAGGCTGCGGTGACCATGAGCGTGCCACTGTACTCCAGCCTGGGCAACACAGTGAGACTCCTACTTAAAAAAGACAGACCCGCCAGCCGGGCTCGGTGGCTCAGCCTGTAATCCCGCGCCTTTGGGAGGCTGAGGTGAGTGGATTGCCTGAGTCCGCGGGTGCGAGACCCGCCTGGGCAGCGAGACCTCATCTCTACAATAAATCAAAAAATCAGCCGGGTGTGGTAGTGCATGCCTGTAATTCCGGCTACTTGGAAGGCTGAAGCGGAAGGATCGCTGGAGCCCAGCAGGTCGAGGCTGCGGTGGCCGTTAGCGGCCACTGCACTCCAGTCTGGGCGACAGAGTGAGACTCCAACTCAAAAAAAAAAAAAAAAAAAGTCAGACCTGCCAAGCTTGGTGGCTCAGCCTATAATCCCGCGCTTTGGGATGTTGAGGTAAGTGAACTGCCTGAGCCTGCGGGTTTGAGACCTGCCTGGGCAACTTGGCAAGACCTCATCTCTACAATAAATAAAAAAAATTAGCCGGGTGTGGTAGCACGCGCCTATAGTTCCAGCTATGGAAGGCTGAGGTGGAAGGATTGCCGGAGCCCAGCAGGTCGAGGCTGCGGTGGCCAGACGCGGCCACTGCACTCCAGCCTGGGCGACAGAGTGAGACTCCAACTCAAAAAAAAAAAAAAGACAGACCCAATATCCATTAGGACATTCATAAAAGACATCACATTTTTGCAAAAGATTATAGAAGCAATCTTCAAGTTTCTTTCCTTAGCAGAGCTCTTCCAGTAAAATGTTATGTGGAAGTAGAACGGGTAAAACTGATTTTTTAAAACATGAAGCTGCTCTTGTTGAAGTCTGAGTGGGAGTCTTGGAGCTCCCCAATGGCATGCCCCACCCCCTCACCCCCACTGTAGTCAGTTAGAAACCAATATCGTAGCATGATTTCTATCTTTCTTTCTTTTTTTTTGAGTTGGAGTCTTACTCTGTCACCCAGACTGAAGTGCAGTGGCCACTCCCGGCCACTGAAGCCTCGACCTGCTGGGGTCCGGCGATCCTTCC